AAAATTATACAAAAAAAATGAAAAAAAAAAAAAAAAAAAAAAAAAAAAAAAAAAAAAAAAAATCTTTTTTTTTTTTAAATTAGAGGCTGCATGAACGATATAGGATGCATACACCATGTACATATACCATTCATGAATTGAAAAACAATTAGAAAACTTAGACAGAAAAGATTGAAAAAAAGTAACACACGAACCTAATAAATAAAATACATTATTACAAAAATTCTGAAAAAATATTCCTATGAGAGACATTTGTTTAAAAATAATCCATTGCTAAGTAAAGTGTGTCAATATAAATAAGCATGCAAAGTTTTTAATTATGTAGTTCCAAAATTATTCCTCCTGATTCATCAATTGACGTCAGGAAAAAAATAATTAAAATGCTATATCGATAAAAGCTGAAAAGACACTGAAAATGCTTATTAAAAAAAATAAAGGTTACTTGAACAATATTGGATGCATACATGATGAACACGTTCCACTCGTTAATTAAAAATAAAAATTTTAGAACAGAGATATAATTGACAGAATATAAATGAATGCATTTTCCCAAATCCCCACTAGCCTGAGCCTAATAAAATAATAAGATCATAAAAACTTCTAAATTTTGTTTATGAGACATGTAATAAGACAACATCAATCATTATGCAGAGAATATAATAGAAAACAACCTTGCAAATTTTGAAGCATTTGGTAATAATACTTTTCCTCATAATACATTTGACGTCAGAGATAAACGGAAAATCTTAAGTGGACCACTTTAAAAAGAGAAAAAAAAATCAATTAAGCAATATTAGAAATATAGGAGTCAAATTAAATGAAATTTAAAGCATATCAATGTGAAATTATCACAAAAGATAAGAATTTTCTAGATATCTCTATAAATTTTACACAATATTGTAGAACATGTAAATGATTTTAATAAGAAATCAATAGAATCAAGTTTAAGGAAAAAAAATATGCCCAATAAATATAATAAAAATGGTTATTTACACAATTTTTTAAAATAATTTTCAGCACATTAAAAACATTTACATATTTATAAAAGTAGCCTAAAATCTTTCGGAACCAATCATTGTGAATTAGCAGTGAAAATAAATTTAAAAGAACAAGTCAAGAATGACGATTATCTCAGCAAGCCATTTTCAAACCCAGTTGTTGGGTTCAGCTGTCTATATTCTATATTCACTTTTCTGCGTGTTAACTTGTCCGTTGGTTCACTAGTCCTGTATTTGGATATCTTATGGTCAGTTGTGGGTTTACTTAGACTTGTCCTGCGTTCATTTGTACGGTCACCGCAGCAGACACAAACCATAAAGTTTATGCAGCATTAACGATCAGAAATCTGCTTCAAGTAAACCTTTACATGGGGAGGCCTCGGCGACTGCATTGCTGCCCACAGCCTTACTAAACAGAAACAATGCAAATGCAAGGCCGTGGAGGCCACGTCACTCTAGCTATGCCGACGTATTACTTTAGTGTATCAGAGAATGACTTTGGTAATTAGCTGACCAGGCCAGGGAAACGGCGCATGGGCCAAAAAAGGTGCGAAGCGAGAGACTCGTAATAGAATTCCACCTACAACAGAGAGCGATCAATGTCCAAGCGTTGGTTCATGTGTCACGTGTCCTCATCATGAGCAGATTTGGCAAACGTTAAGAGCGGACCAGGGATTATGTTGCGACATGTTCACTAGAGAGTTGTGCCCCCACTACCACTAAGTTTAAAAAAAAAACAAACAAAAAAACTCTTCATCTCGCCGAAAATGCCGCCCCTCATTATAATTTTTTTAAAAAGTGACACCTGTGTGGACCACCCCGTCCACAGCCCCCTTCCTTTGCAAATGCATTGATTTTTTCTCGACATTTGTGAGTCATAGTAGGCAAATACGCTTTTTAAATGGTCTGTGTTTTGTCAGCTCTAATTTGATAGATGGAACTTAATTATTTAGATGCCACCTAAGTTGATTCTGGTTTGTGATGAGTAAAATGAGAGGCAGTGTTAGTGATTTTATGTATCTGGATGGAACCAAGTTGCTTTGTTAGTAATCTGTTTGCAAAAGCCTGGCAAAGGTGTTTAATTTCGCTATTGACATATATTTCATTACTTTCCAGCTTCTTGCCTCTTAGTCTTAGTAAATCACCAGCTATTTATTGAGAAATAAATCGAAACTGTCACAAATTTTAAGAAAGGAAATTGACAATTTTATTTAAAGTTTTAACAAACATTTCCCACTTAACCGAACCCCCACCCTAAGAATTCTAGCCGCGTTACGTCCGTAATGGATGCACAGCTGTGCAAAGGAAAAAGCAGCGCCCTGGGTGAATGCGCCCTCTGATGTTGAGGTCTCTTGCGAGTACCACATTTACATGGATCCAGTTGGCTAGAAAGAAATATCAGACAAAGTAGATAGATTTATAAAATAAAAAAAAAAAATATTTAAATCTAAATATATCCTATTGGGCAACTTTTATAACGTAGCTTTGAAGACAGAAGAGTACTCCTTGTTTTCCCACAATGGCGTCGTAAATGATAAAAGCAGACCTTTTTACTCTTACGATTTTGGCGTACAATGTACGATTTTGAGGCCTATATATTATATATACTGTGTTTTTTTACTATTCAGATAATGTGTTGAACGATTTTGTGAGGATAGTGTACGATTTTAAGAGTTAGAAGGTAAACAGGTCTGCAAAAGATTCATGAAATGTACATTTTTTAAAAATCTTGTACAATTTTGTTAGTTAAATGGTTATTGTAGATACTTCGATGAAACAAGGGAGACTACTATTTTTTTTGTATCGGAAATGGCTGTCGGCGCCGAAAATCCGAGTTTTTAATTTTCCGATGTGCGTGTCTATTTATTATTAAATTAGTTCTTTCCACATATATTTGAGTTCCGTTTCCGGCCTTATAATTTGGAAGACATCTTGGCCTACATTTCTAGCCAGCTATTTTGCTTTTTTCAATCGACCTTTATTTTGAAAATCTTTGGTATATATAAGGCATCTTCGCATACAAAATTTTTTGTGAAATAATAAGATAAGGTCCTTTTTGATTAAATCTGTATGAGCATTAGAT